GTAAATGAGTGAAAACTGCAGAGTTCTGGCCATTAGATGTAGCTCGTCTGTGTTGGGACATTCTTTTGAACAGTGGCTGCTTCGTTTCCCCGATTTTTACTTCTGTGATGTTACTACTACTTCTTTTTCCTGTTATCTTCTTCGTCTTTTTCTCCAGTAGAAGCAGCCGGTTGTTGATCACGTGACTCCCGTGACGCGAAAAAAGTGTTTCCATTGTAGTTTTGCGAAAAACACCAATTGTGATACGGCCGAAAAACCACCTCATCCTAGCGCAAAAACATTTTGTCGAAAAACAATTTTTTTTCGAAATTGACGTGTTTCCATTGAGCAAATTTATTTTCGAAATTCTAATTTGCGCATTTTCATGGTCAATTTCCACAGCTAGTGTAAATAAACAGTTTACACAACGATCAAAAGGATAGTTTTTAATATTTAAAGATGACTGACTTTTGTTTATTTTTTCCTTAAAGACCTTTGAATGTGTGGCGCCAAGTCTAAAATACATTGTTAAAAATGTTACTAACACATTTTCATTAATTAGCTCATTTTTGTAAAAAATAAAAAAAAAACACTAAAATTTTGCTGCTGTTTAGATCACTGTTCTTACATGTTGCAATGTTTTCTAAAATGCTAAATTTAAATGTTAAAGTTTAAATTTAAATATTTCAGAAAGGAACACGGCCTTTGCCTTTACCATGGTGCTCGGCTCTTGTTATGAGGTCATCATGCTGCGACAAAAGAAAATGCTAACTCTGCTAACTAATTGTTATTAAGTCATAAGATGAAACTATTACAACGCGGTGTGCCCGTACCTTCAGTTTGAGTGAGTCTGTGTCATACGGACTGGGTGTGAAGTCCGTATGGACCCGGGCCCGGCCACAGAACGGTCCTCTATAAGGCGGTTCTTCATCATCACCATCCTCTGACTTCACACTCTCCCTGTTGCTGGCTGACGAGTCAGTGGTGCTCACTGTCTGACCACCTGGACACAGACAAGGGCTTTTACATAAACGTCAAAACCATCATGAATCCGTCCCTGCACATTTTCTATTTTTAAGAAAAAGACAGTTAAAACAGAAGATTAACTGTGGTTCTGTACTCACATAAACACAACATATCCAAATATTCTACAAAACATGTCTTTGTGGTCACAGTGTAATAAAATGCATGTTAGGAAGCTTTCAGTCATAATTACTAGGTTTTATTTTTTGTTATGATTTAGATTAGAGCTGAGAATCATCTGTGTTTGATAAACACCAGCGCCATCTAGTGTTACGGTTTCAGATTGACCTCAAGTAGATGAATAACACTGCAAAAAATGTCCACTTAACCAAGTTTTAAAATCTTATATCCAACCAAAAAGTCTTTTTGATCTTGTTTTGAGAC